ACGTGCCACCATGCCCAGCTAATTTTTTGTAGTTTTAGTAGAGACGGGGTTTCACCATGTTGACCAGGATGGTCTCGATCTCTTGACCTCATGATCCACCCGCCTCGGCCTCCCAAAATGCTGGGATTATAGGCGTGAGCCACCGTGCCCGGCCGGCTAATTTTTTAAACATTTTGTAGAGGTGGGGTTTTGCCATGTTGCCGAGGCTGCTCTTGAACTCCTGGGCTCAAATGATTCTCCTGCCTCAGCCTCCCAAAGCGCTGGGATTACAGGCATGCACCACCACACCTGGCTACTTTTTTTTTTTTAATTTTTTGTAGAGATGGGGTTTTGCCATATTGCCCAGGCTCATCTTAAACTCCTGGGCTCAAGCAATCCTCCTGCCTCAGCCTCCCAAAGCGCTGGGATTACAGGCATGCACCACCACACCTGGCTACTTTTTTTTTTTTAATTTTTTGTAGAGATGGGGTTTTGCCATATTGCCCAGGCTCATCTTAAACTCCTGGGCTCAAGCAATCCTCCTGCCTCAGCCTCCCAAAGCGCTGGGATTACAGGCATGCACCACCACACCTGGCTACTTTTTTTTTTTTAATTTTTTGTAGAGATGGGGTTTTGCCATATTGCCCAGGCTCATCTTAAACTCCTGGGCTCAAGCAATCCTCCTGCCTCAGCCTCCCAAAACACTGAGATTACAAGCATGAGCTACCATGCCTGGCCCATTCTCTTACATCTTTAATCGTTATTATCACATTGGTATGCATCTCTAAACAATATAATTTTTAGCTTTCCTTGCTTCTGAGCTTTTAAAAGTGAAATCATACCACATGTCATCTTCCGTGACTTGCTTTTCTCACTCACATTATTCCTGAGATTCATCCATATGGCTGCAGGTTAACTACACTTCACTAACTACATTAGTGAAAACAGACTAATTTGAAAATTTTTTCAAAAAAAATTCATCAATTTTTGCTGTTTGTATTAGTCTATTTGCACATTGCTATAAAGACATACCTGAGACTGGGTAATTTATTAAACAAAAAAAGAGGTTAAAAGATTTAATCGACTCACACTTCCCCATGGCTGGGGAGACCTCAAGAAACTTACAGTCATGGCGGAGGGGGAAGTGGAAGGAGGCAGGTCTTAACATGGTGGCAGGTGAGAGGGAGTGCATGTTAGCACAGAAAGAAACCTACCATTTATAAAACCATCAGGTCTCGTGAAAATTCACTCACTGTCGCAAGAACAACCCCATAATCTAATCATTTCCCACCAGGTCTCTCCCTAAACACCTAGAGATTACAATTCAAGGGGAGATTTGGGTGGGGTCACAAAGCCTAACCATATCACTGGTACAGGATATTCCATTGTGGAAACACCTCACAGTTCATTTATCCATTTTTCCTGCCCATGGACACTGGGTTTCTGGTTTTGTGCTATGATGAACAGAGCGGTCATGAATGCTTCTGGGTAAGTCAGGGGCCCGCTGATAGTCCAGCCATCCCTTCCTCGTGTGTGTGGGTCTGTCTCTGAGTGCCCAGGTTGGTTCTATGGATCTGTTGTCTAGCCCTAACTCTGTAAGGCATTGCCTATAGCCAGGTGTGGTGGCTCACACCTGTAATCTCAGCACTTTGGGAGGCCAAGGTAGGAGAATCACTTGAGGCCAGGAGTCTGGGCAACATGGAGAAACCTCATCTCTACAAAATTCTAAAAAATTAGCAGGCCATGGTGGCGAATGCCTGTGATCTCGGCTACTTGGGAGGCTGAGGTGGGAGGATTGCTTGAGGCCAGGAGCTTAAGGCTGCAGTAAGCTGTGTTTCCACCACTGCACCCCAGCCTGGGCGACACAGCAAGACTGTCTCTTAAAAAAAAAAAAAGACATCGTTTCAATTACTTTAGCTCTATGGTACGTCTTGATATTGGATAAAGTAAGTGTTCTTATGTTGTTCTTTTTTTTTTTTTTTTTGGGACGGAGTTTCGCTCTTTTTTTTTTTTTTTTTTTTTTTTGGGACGGAGTTTCGCTCTTGTTACCCAGGCTGGAGTGCAATGGCGCGATCTCGGCTCACCACAACCTCCGCCTCCTGGGTTCAGGCAATTCTCCTGCCTCAGCCTCCTGAGTAGCTGGGATTACAGGCACGCGCCACCATGCCCAGCTAATTTTTTTTTGTAGTTTTAGTAGAGACGGGGTTTCACCATGTTGACCAGGATGGTCTCGATCTCTTGACCTTGTGATCCACCCGCCTCGGCCTCCCAAAGTGCTAGGATTACAGGCTTGAGCCACCGCGCCCGGCCCATCTAGCTATGTTTTAATGTCACTCTGTGTGTTCAGGTACTTTTTAAAATTGTGGGGCCGGGTGAGTTGGCTCACACCTGTAATCCCCGCTCTTTGGGAGGCTGAGGTGGAAGGATGGCTTGAGGCCAGTTCAAGACCAGCCTGGGCAACATAGCAAGATCCCATTTCTGAAAAAAAAACAAAAAACCAAAAACAATTAGCTGGGTATAGTGGCATGCACCTGCAGTCTCGGCTACTCCAGAGGCTGAAGTGGGAGGATTAACTGAGCCCCGGAGGTTGAGGCTGCAGTGAGCTATGATATGGCCACTGAATTCCAGCCTGGGTGACAGAGTGAGACACTGTCTCAAAAAACAAAATGAAACAAAAACATACACACAAAAAAAAACTGTGGTAAAATACACATATAACAACATTTACCATCTTAACCATTCTTAAATGGTTAACTTCAGTAGTACCTAAATAGTGCAGTTCAGTAGTACTTAGTACATTCACGCTGTTGTGTAAACATTAAACATTTAGGTGGTTTTGTGTTTTTTTTTTTTATGGAGTCTCGCTCTATTGCCCAGGCTGGAGTGCGGTGGCATGATCCTGGCTCACTGCAACCTCCACCTTCCAGGTTCAAGCCATTCTCCTCCCTCAGCCTTACAAGTAGCTGGGATTACAGGTGCCCGCCACCACGCCTAGATAATTGTATTTTTAGTAGAAACGGGGTTTCACCATGTTGACCAGGCTGGTCTCAAATTCCTATCCTCAAGGGATCCACCCGCCTCGGCCTCCCAAAGTGCTGGGATTACAAGAGTGAGCCACTGCGCCCAGCCCTTTTGCTTTTCTGTAGAGTTTTACTACTTGAGTGCGTATTCCCAAGCACTTTAGTTTTGCTGGTTTCTGAACATCATACAAGTAGAACAATACACTTAGAATTCTTTCGTTTAGGCTGTTCTTCTTTTTTTTTTTTGAAACAGGGTTTTGCCCTGTTGCTCAGACTGGAGTGCAGTGGCACGATCACAGCTCACTGCAGCCTTGAACTCCTGGGCTCAAGCAATCCTCTGATCTCAGCCTGTCAGGTATCTGGTGTGCACCACTACACCTGTGTAATTTTTGTATTTTTTTGTGAAGACTGGTCTTGCCATGTTGCCCAGCCTCGAACTCCTAGACTCAAGCAATCCTCCCACCTCAGTCTCCCAAAGATTACTGGTGTGAGCCACCGTGCCCAACCCAGCTTCTCCGATTTACCATTATGGTTGTGCATCATCCACCTTATTGTGTATCGCTAAACTTTGTTCATCTTTACTGTTGTGTAGCATTCTATCTATGAAATAAATTGTGAATAAATACCACTATTTACTTAATTATTTAACATTGGCGGATATTTGAGGACTTCCCATTTTGGACTAGGTTCATTGTGTCATTATGCACCATAGCCAAGACATGGAAACAGCTTAAGTGTCCATCAGCGATGAATGGGTAAAGACACTTGATATACAATACAACAGAATACTGTGCAGCTTCAAAAAGGAGGAGACTCTGCCATTTGGATGAATCTGGAGGACGTTATGCTAAGTGAACTAAGCCAGACACAGAAGGACAAACACTGCGTGATCTCACTTATATGTGGAACCTGAAAAAAAGTCTAATACATAGAAACAGAGAATAGAATGGTGGTTGCTAGGCTCTGTGCTATGGCTCACACCTGTTGCAGTGGAGCAATCTCAGCTCACTGCAGCTTCTGCCTCGAGGTTCAAGCGATTCTCCTGTTTCAGCTCCCCAAGTAGCTGGGATTACAGGTGTGCACCACCACACCTGGCTAATTTTTGTATTTTTTGGTAGAGACGAGGTTTCACCATGCTGGCCAGGCTAGTCTGAAACTCCTGACCTCAAGTGATCCACCCGCCTCAGCCTCCCAAAGTGCCAGGATGACAGGCGTGCACCCCACACCTGGCCAGAAATGAAATCTCAAGCAGACCAGGGCTACCTAAGAACACCCCCATGTTTTCTCATCCAAAGAGCCCTGTGGATTGAAACCATCTCCCTCCTATTCTATTGCCTCTGCCTTTCTCAAATTCAGAGAAATAACAGGATCAGGGGACTACCCACTGGGAGTAGCAGCTGGTGTGGGTTGATGAGTTGGATGGTCCAGATCTTGTGCTGTTTCTACAGCATTTTTCCACGGGAAGAGCTGATGCACAGATAAGGTGTGTGCAGACCTGAACATCTCCCACTCCTTTGCAGGTGCCCAACAGAGTGTGAGCTTGTGTATTTCTGGCAAACAATAAAGAATAACATGATCTTTGCGCTCCCCAGATACATGAGGATTTGTTGGCGGTACCTGTCTGTTTCTGATGAACTACGACTTCTGGTTTTCCCCTAAATATGCCCACTTGGGTCTGGTACGTTTGACGTCTTACCAAATCTCACCCACATTCTCTGTAATAACTAATGTTTCTTCCCCAAGTGTGACTGGTTTTGACCCAATCCCTTCCCACATTTTCCACTCTGGAAAGTCCCTAACCTTTGATGTCCTACCCACAATCCTTTGTTCACAGCCTGGGGGTTCTCCCTTTGGGCTAGATGGAGCCCCATTTCTGTAAAACTGACTAATCAGATGTCCATGTCGCAAGCCGTGCAGGTCCCTCCCAGCTACCTGAGTGATGCTGGGGCCTCTGCTGCTCATGAACTTCTGCTTTGCCTTTCTGGCATCTTGGATCAAAGTGCTGCTGGGACTACAGGTATGTGCCACCACAGCTGGCTAATATTTCTACTTTTTATTTTTTTGTAGAGATGGGGGTCTCGCTATGTTGCCTAGGCTCATCTCAAACACCTGGCCACAAGCGATCCTCCTGCTTTGGCCTCCCAAAATGCTGGGATTACAGGTATGAGCCATTTGCTCCCAGCCACTATTCTATATTTTAATCTGAGTGGTGGTGGCATTTATATGAAATATTAATTATAGTATGCATTTAAGATTTATGGACTGGGCGCGGTGGCTCACGCCTGTAATCCCAGCACTGTGGGAGGCCGAGGCGGGTGGATCACGAGGTCAAGAGATCAAGACCATCCTGGTCAACATGGTGAAACCCCGTCTCTACTAAAAATACAAAAAATTAGCTGGGCATGGTGGCACGTGCCTGTAATCCCAGCTACTCAGGAGGCTGAGGCAGGAGAATTGCCTGAACCCAGGAGACGGAGGTTGCGGTGAGCCGAGATCGCGCCATTGCACTCCAGCCTGGGTAACAAGAGCGGAACTCCGTCTCAAAAAATAAAAAAAAAAAAGATTTATGTACTTTGCTGCATGTATGTTATAAAATTTAACTTGTCATTAAAATGTTATTTTAAACTCAATGACATGTATAATTTCATGTACAGAAAACTCAATCAGTTTAAAATAAATAAAATTTTAATGACAAGTTGCAACATATCATCATTGTTAAAACTATTTTAACAGGCTATTGAAGTATAAACTGAGGTATGATACACTGTACATATTTAAATTACACAATTTTGATCTTTGATATTGACATATGTATATATCCATGAAATCACCACCGCAAATCGAGCTACCCAACATCACCCCCAAAAGTCTCTTCCTGCCTTCTCCATATTCTCCATGCTCCCTACAACATTAAAATTATATTACGATTTTCTAAAATATAAAAATAGCCAGGCACTGTGGCTCACACCTGTAATCCCAGCTCTCAGGGAGGCAGAGGCGGGAGGATAGCTTGAGCCCAGAAGTTCGAGACCTGCCTGGGCAATATAGCGAGACCCCGTTCTCCACAAAAAGGAAAAAAACAAAAAGACAAAAAAAATAATAATAAAATATAAAAATAAATAAATACCTGGTTGATCTTGCTAGGAGCAAAAAGCATCACAAGTAAAATTACTGCAGTTTGTTTTCTTTCAGGAATTACACCAGACTGGCAAGGAGGATTCAGAAACATAAATACACTCCGCATTTCTGGCGTAACTAGGCGGTATCTGAAAGGTCAAAGGAGGAAGAGCTACCAACACAGGAAAAGTCAAGGGAGTCCAGGCGGAAGCCAAGAAGGAGTGCCCGTGGTCCTGCTCTTAGAAGAAGCCTAGAAGGCACAAGAGACTCATTGTCATGGGAAAACCAGAAGTCACCTGTTTGGGGTACAAAGAGTGAGAGATACAGCCTGGCCACTGGAACCTTCTTGGAACTGGCTGTCGCTGATGTCTGAGGCCAGGGAGGCAGTGCTGGAGGAGGCATCAGCACACAATTGTCTGCACAGGAAGCTGTCTGCCTGCCGGGGAGGAGGCGGGACTGTGCTGCTGCACTGTGAGTGGCTTTCCTGCCGCTGTTCTCGGCTAGCTGGGGCAAAGGAAGTTTAAGCAATTCGCACATACACATATTCCTCTCAATTAGCAACGTTCCTGGAAACCAGGGATGCTTCCTGCTAGGCAGAAACAAAAGCCTCCCCCTGCTCCACACAAATGTCTTCAATGACTTGGTGTAGCAGGAGCGGCCACGGGAAATGGGTTCTCTCGAACACCAAATAAAGGAGGGAAGAGCTTGTTCGGCCCAGAGACCAGACAGTAAGTTGTCAAAGCCCAGCTCATTTAACAAAGGAAGCTTCTGCCTTTATATAGGCTTATGCTTTAGATGTTACACGTGGAAGAATCTTAGGTTTATGGCTTTAGGAATCACATATGAAAGGGTTCTGGTTTACAGTTTTAGGACTCACATGTAAAAAGGTTCCTGGTTCGATCTTGTTTTAAGTAAAAATAGTGTCTTCCAGAGAGTTTCCCCAAGACCAAGCGTGTTATTTTCAGGAAGGAGATTTAGGAGGCGCCAGCTGGCCTGCTCTCCCTTCGAGATGCACGGTGGATGACAGAGGGGGAGGGAATCCCAGATGCCTGGGTCTCCTTCCTCGTCACCCCCTTTGAGACCCTCACCATTTTATAATATCAGTGAGAGGTCTCACTTTGATTCTCACTTTCCAGATTTTTCCAAGAAACTGATGTTTCATATAATATACTTGTGATGTCATTTTTGGCTAACGACAGTAGTGATGAATCCCCTAATTATCTGAAGGAACAGGGGGAGTAGACAAGGGAGCAACAAACAAACACCTATTATAATGCTTATGATGAGGGTTTCGAATCCTCCCAATGGATGAGAACCAACCTCCGAATAAGGACTCAGGGTTAAATCTGTGCCACATCTGTACAGGCACGTGTGCCAGTTTGGTCATGTCTCGCACAATATCCTCTGCTGCCTGCCCCTGGTCATCTGTGTGCAGACGGCAGTTGCTTAGATTGAATTTTCCCCAGACTCCTCCTTCAGCTGCTAGCAAATAATCTAGGGCCAGCCGGTTCTGATCAATCGCGTTTCTCATTTGAGTTTCTTGTCGGGCCAAGAGGGACAGAGCTTTGCCTGTTTCATTAGTGAGTATTTCTAAAAATAGCTTGCAACCAGATGATCCGGTTGAGCATGTAAATAGGGGTCCAGTATCCCCATGAGCTATCCTCCGCCCATGTGGCCAGCCCATAATACTCAATAATTCTCTCCGGTGGCCACTTATTATTTGTCCAATCTTCTATCTTTAGGTTTCTTTTCTCTCTAGCGGAGTAGACTGAATATATTAACAGCCCACCTGTCTTAACAGATAATAGGAAGAGGGCTTAATGATGCCTATGACACAGCTCCCTGTCCATCTCACGGATTACACACCTTATATTGAGTACCATTATATAAACAGGTTCCCTTCTGTGTCCCTGTACATTTATAAGAACTGTAGGACAAAAGAATGGCGGTAACTTTTATGCCCTACCTGGTGTGCATACTGAGGGCATTCTTTAAAATTAGTTAATGTTCCTACTGTACAAGTCCAAATATTAAGAAGAACGAGTCCCACGATGAATCTCCTCATGCTTTGGCTGTGCGTGGGCCAGCCAGCATCTGGCATGTGGCTGGAGCAAGGCTTGTTGTCCTTTTTAAAGTGATTCTGCAGTCCTTGCCTTCGACCAAGTCTCAGGTGTTGCTGGGTTTTTTTACACGGCTGTGGTGGATTCAGGCAGAGATTCCCTCTGCCTTCACAGCTGTGGGATTGGTCAGGATCAGGTCTGAGGTCCTTTCCATTGTGGCTTTAGAGGGACTGTACTCCCGTCCTTTATCCACACTTGATTACCTAGTGAGAAAGGGTGAACTGGGGAGAAAAAGGCTTACAGGACATTTGTTATTTACTCAGGTTGAAGTATCCTAAGCGATTCTCCTTAGAGCTGGTGTCTAGCATCCTAACTCAATCTCCCCCCACTCCTGAGGAGTTCCTAGGCGTGCCCAGGGTAGGGGAGGGGGCCTATGGTATAAGACTTCATAGGGGAATATCCTGTTTTTCGTAAAGGGGGTGCCTCTAAATTTGAATAACACCGAGGGAACACCTGCACCCACTTTCATCTTGTTTCCTGACACACTTTCTCTAAGCTGTTTTTGATGGTCTGGTTCATTCTTTCCACTTTTCCGGAACTCTGAGGTCAGCGGGCAGCATGGTTTCCAGGTGATACCCAAGGCCGTTGCTGTTTTCTGGACTAAATCCACCACAAATGCTGGTCCGTTGTCTGATCCGATGCGCAGGGGCAGTCCAAACCTAGGGATAAGATCTCGAAGCAGCACACGGGTCACTTTATGGGCCTTTTAAGGCCTCTCCCCACCCAGAGTATGTGCACACCAGGACCAACAAATACTTATGTCCCCCACACTTGGGCATTTCAGTAAAGTCTACCTGGAGATCTTTACACGGAGCTGCCCCATAATACTGAATGCCAGGGAGAATAGTTGGGACCCTGCCTCGCGTTGTGTTGCCGACATGTAATGCATGCATCGCTGTGCCACAGTTTTAGTCAAGGCTGAAAAGTGTGAGTGTAAAAGTTCCAGCCCAGCATCTTTTCAAGTGACTCTTGACCTAAATGAGTGGTCTCATGTACGGCTTGTACAACCGCTGCACATAGCAGGCCCTGGTATCTGGCAGGCTTACCAATGAGGTCTTTTGGTATTCATTAGCGTCACCGCTGTGTGGGGTGCTTTGATATTTAAATTCTTCCCAGAGTTGAGGCTAGAATCTTTGATTGCCATTTTTTTTTTTTTTCTGACAGCATGAAAAGGCTGTGTTAAATCAGCTAGCCCGAAAGCCAGGGCTGACGGAAGTTTCACTTTTAGCTTCTGCCCCTTTCGAAGGGTGTCTTGTCTTCTCCCCTCCCCCTTTGTCACTTTGGGTAAGGGTTTGGCTAGTACTGTGAAGTTTGGAAATCCACAATTTACAAAACCCACCGCTCCCAGGAGCTCTCTCACCTGCTTTTAGTCTCGGGTTCTGTGACTTTGCAAGCGGCTTGCTTCTTCTCTGCTTCTAGGCTGCGTTCCCCCTTCCGGAGGGTGAGCCTCAGATATTGCATTTGCTTTTTGGCTAACCTGGGCTTTCCTTTTAGACCCTTTATACCCACAGTCCTCCAGGTGCCAAAGTAAGGCATTTGGTTGCGTACTCGACTGCCGTGGGGTGTCCCAATAGAAGGTAATCAGCATACAGGGGCAGCAGGCAAGCAAGAAGCTTCTAGGGGGCAGTCACAGGCTGATGCCTCCCCAGCGATGATGAGCTTCCGAGCCCCTGGGAAGCTGGGTCCAGGTGTATTCAGTGGTTACACCTGCTTCTGGGTTTCTCCCATGGAAATGCAAATAGTTTTTGACCCTCCAAGCCCAGTCCAATGCTAAGGAAGTATTCTTTAAGTCCAATTAAGTGAACCAACTATCCTCTGCTGGCAATAATCCCAGCTGCATGTATGAGTTGGGTGCAAAGCCACGCAAGCCCTGCACGGGCCTGGGCCATAATATCAGTCTTCTGCTTTTGGCTAGGAAGTCTCCACCCTCCTTCCCAAGGGACCATGAGAGCCTGGATAACCCCCGACGGAGGCAGTTTTAACTGCAGGTAGTCTTTTTTTTTTTTTTTTTTTTTAATGGGATAGTGGCCTTTGATTTGCACAACAGGTTTTGCTGGAGAAGCGGGGCAGGGGCAATTCATTAAGTACAAGAACGTCTGTTCTCTTAATACCTCAATAGATTTAACAACACTGGCTTTGTTTTTCTCGATAGGGGGTTACAGGGCTGTCGTCCGGACCATGGGCTCTTTGGGGGCATATGAGTCCAGCCCCTCTCTCTTTCAGTCCAGTGACTGTTCCATTAGATTGAACAGAGCCCCTTCATGCTCATTTGGATCCTCGTGCTTAGGATCATCCTATTCCTCAGTTAACTGTGGACATTTTTTCTTCCAGTGTCCTATTTCTCGACAAAATGCACACCGATCGCAGTGCAGGCGCAGGCCGGCAGACTGGGGGGCTTTCCAGGAACTCCCTTTTCCTGCCCTCTAGGGGGCGCTCCTTTAATAGCAGCAGCTATCAAGACAGCATTTCGCCTGAATTTCCTCTTCCCTCCGATTTTCCCTCTGGCTTACTGCCTCTCGGTTTACAAATACCTGGTTAGCGATTTCCAATAACTGTGAAGCATTCATGCCTGCAAATCCTGCCTGTTTCTGCAATTTTCATCTAATGTCTTCTGCACACTGACTGACTAATGCCATATTTATCATACGCTGATTTTCCGGGCTCTCAGGATGAAAAGGCGTGTAAATGCGGTAAGCTTCACAGTCATTCATAGAATTGGGTAGGGCTTTCCTCTTTTCCTTGAAGAACCTGAGACTTTATTAATGTTTGTAACTCTCTGGGCCCCTTTTTTAAAATCCTTCCAGCAAGGCTTCTCTGTACCGGATTATCCTTTGCATGCCCTCTGGGGTGTTTGGATCCCACTGGGGGTCAGTTCCTGGTAACTGGACACTGACATACTCTTGGGGGTTCTGGTAATCTGCAGGAACATGCTGCTCCAGCCAATTGGAAGTGGCTTGAAGTATTCTCTGCCTTTCGTCAGTGTTAAAAAGATGCATAAGCAGCTGATGGCAATCAGCCCAAATGGGGTTCTGAGTCTGAATAATAGTTTGCAGTAGATCAATGAGAGCTTGGGGTTTCTTGGTATAAGAC